TATTTATAATATACACTCACCTAAAGGATTATAAGATAGACCTGTTCAATTTCTCATTTATGCAATTATCTAATCAACCAATCACATGGAAGTTGCTTCAATGCTTTTAGGGGTGTGGTCCTGGTCAAGACAATCTCCTGAACTCCAAACTAAATGTCAGAATGGGATATAGGGCTGGGCGATATGGCTGAAAACTTGATATCACGATATCAGTGTTTCATATCGGTCGATATCGATAATTGTTGATTTTTTTTTTATGAGCCATTTAAAATAAGGACCAGGAGTCAAATATATTACTTTTAAACATTTTTATTTTAAACTTAACCTTCCTCTGATTATAATCCCAAGACAGAAATGTCAACACAACCATGGAAAACTCAAGTAATTAAAATGTAAACATAAGTCTAAAATCACAATCAGACCTGCAAACTCCTCAGAGTAAAAAAGGTGACAGTGGCACGGTGCGGTGGGACAGGATTAATTTTCTGCATTTCCAATCAATATATTCGTTTTCCTTAATTTAAGTAACCATAACTTTATTCTCATCAGAATTATAAATAATTGATTTCCGTATAAAATAATTTAGGGGTTGGATAAATATGTTTTGCTTTTAAAACGGTGTGTGTGCGTGCGTGTGTGTGTGTGTGTGTGTGTGTGACAGTTGTAGGTTACAGTTTGACAAGAAATACAGTGTGACAAAAGCACAATGCTGTGTTTTATTGCGAGTATAGGCCTACACAAATATAAGTAAACACTTTGCAGACTGAATGATGTCCTGTATTAACAAAATGACAGAGTTTTTATGTCTGATGCAGATGAAGGGCACTCATTTTCTGCTTCTCAATCGCCGGTTACTGAAGAGAAATCCAGCAGCACAAGACAATGATATGGCGCAACCAAACTGACACGTTAACTTACATGATTGCCTGTTAGCATGTCACTCCCTACGTCGCTAGGTTACCAGAGTGCCTTTGTTAATGCAACCAAACTTGCTTTGCAACCTGTGGTTTCTTCCGACGAAAAAAAAAAATATTGGGCGTTTTTTCAAACACATTTTTTATTGATATCGATCACGTGTCTATCGCGATACACATCGTTATCGTGTTATCGCCCAGCCCTAAAGGGAAAGAAAGGTGATTTTAAGCAATTTTGAGCGTGGCGGGGTTGTTGGTGCCAGGCGGGCCGGTCTGAGTATTTCACAATCTGCTCAGTTACTGGGATTTTCATGCACAACCATTTCTAGGGTTTACAAAGAATGGTGCGAAAAGGGAAAAACATCCAGTATGCGGCAGTCCTGTGGGCAAAAATGCCTTGCTGATGCTAGAGGTCAGAGGAGAATAGGCCGACTGATTCAAGCTGATAGAAGAGCAACTTTGACTTAAATAACCTCTCAATACAACTGAGGTATGCAGCAAAGTATTTGTGAAGCCACAACACGCACAACCTTGAGGCAGATGGGCTACAACAGCAGAAGACCCCACCGGGTACCGCTCATCTCCACTACAAATAGGAAAAAGAGGCTACACTTTGCAAGAGCTCACCAAAATTGGACAGTTGAAGACTGGAAAAATGTTGCCTTGTCTGATGAGTCTCGATTTCTGTTCAGATGGTAGAGAGTCAGAATTTGGCATAAACAGAATGAGAACATGGATCCATCATGCCTTGTTACCACTATGCAGGCTGCTGGTGGTGTAATGGTGTGATATCCTCATAACATTTCACGAACGGTAATTTAATAATGTTCCTTTTCTGTTATTATGGAACATTGTGCTAATGTTTTATTGAGAACATTGTATAATCTGTTATCTCAACAACATTCCCAAAACATCCGTAAAATGTTACAGTTAAAACGTAATATCTTAGTTTACATTTAACCTTATAGCAACATTATTTTAAATTAGAAAACATTCTTTAAACATTACTGTAACGAGACTCTAGACGGAGTGGAATCCATTTGCATTATACAGCAAAGTAGGGTTTTCAGAGAGCAGGCACAGAGAATAGTCAGATAACAGGCAGTAGATCAGGGCAGGCAGCAAACAGGCAGAGGTGATATCACAATCCAAAGTCGGTACACAGAACAGGCAGAACATGGATAAACGCTCAGTCATTACAGGCCGTGGCAATGCAATACTTCGCACTGAGTCTGTGTTTGAGTGTGGCTTAAATAGGCAGTCTGAATGAGGTGCAGGTGTGTGTGTAATCAGTCCCAGCAATGGTGCATTATGGTAAACGGAGTTCTAGGGAGAGTTAGTATTCTGGAGACGGCTCCCTCTGCTGGTGAAGAGGAGGCGGTGCGGGAGCCTGCTCTGTAACAATTACATTCAAATGTTTTCTTTAAAACATTAACCAAACTTGTAGGGAATGTTAGCCAAAGTTCTGAGAACGTTCCCTGGTAGCTGGGAGCTGCTCATGTGGATGAACATCAGCACTTTGAAACACAAATGAAACAAATGTTTTATTTAATGAAATCAAAACCTTTGTGATTTGATAAACGCACTGTCATATCGCATTTTTGGATTTATTTTGTTTAATCATGCAGCCCCATCATGTAGGTGTTGTTGGACTGGATTGTAGAGCTGTATGATTGTATGACAAACAAGAAATATGTAGCTATTTTTTTTTAATATGTCCCCATATTCCAGGATTGTAGTGATCCCATATTCACTGCTAAACAAATCATACACATTTCATGACCTTGCCGGTCATCAGATCTACACACCATTAAATCTCTCTGGAACGTTCAACGTCCAACGTTGAGTGCAGAATGCAAATGAGATTTCCAACTACTTCATACCTCAAACAACTGGAGCCTTTTCCTCTATAAAAATAAAGATGTATCCCAATACATGCAATGTCAGCGTTTTAAGAAGGAATTGAAGCTGTTCTGCATGTCCTACTTGTTAGATTTTGTTAGTTCTTATTGCACTTTTTTTGAGAATTTTTTTTTACTTACTTTAATGACCGAGGCTGGGCTGGGTTTCCCGAAAACCTTCTTAGCGCTACGTCGTTCTTAAGTTACCTTAAGCTGTACCTTATAGTTAATACGCGTTTCCCGAAACGTTCTTAGTTAAATATAGCCTACCTTCTTTTAGTCATATGTTCGGAAGGTTGGTCTGGACCACTCTTAACTTTACTTCATCACTGTTGCAGGTCTATACGAATATAATTCTGAAGTTTTAATACACTCAGACAGTGTTCAATAATGCTAATTCAAGTGTTTTCATGCAAATAATAAGATTGTCATTACACTGATTTTTTTATTATATTATCCAAAGGTACATCAGCTGGCAAAGGTACATTTAAAGGCTTAATAGTCTATTTAAAGGGAAAGCGAATAGTTGTTCCAAAAGACGGCGCCGTCTGCGGAGCACTTTCAAAGGCCAGTGAAAGCATAATGTCAGTTAAGTCCTATTCGGACGCTAATTGTTTCTCATGGGCTTGTACGGTATTTTAAACATTTACAGGGGTACTGTAAGTCAGTGATTTTATTGCCATCCTAATACATAATGTGAGTGTTTTTTCTCACCCTACCCGTGTAAAAATCCCTGACCAAATTACCTGTTTTTTGACAAGCAGGTCGGGCCGAGAACCGTAGTAAGATGTAGGCTACACTTTTATTACTGAAATGCTGGTAAGTATTTACAAGAACAATATTTCATTGCAGCTCCACCTCAGCGAACAAAAATGGTAAAGACAAGAAAGCACGTAAAAAATTGAAATGGTTATTGTTGCAGCAGTATATACACTTTGGATTATTTTTTATAATATGCCATGAGTCTTAATAAATGCAATTTCAACTAATTTTGAAGTGCTTCTTTTATAAATAACACCACTTAGCACCTGCATGAGTGAATAATTGATTCTTGAGCCATCGATATCAACCAATTCAGCACCATCGCCATGGACAGCACCTGGTAATGTCGCACGTAAGAAGCGACGTTACCAGGTGTTGCAAGAAGCTGCAAATCTTAAGCAGCTTCCTAAGGTATGGTTCGGGGAGCACGCCTAGAAATGGTAAACCTTTATTTAAGTTATACCATAAGAGTCTTCGTAGCGCACTAAGAGACAACGTCACACAGTTGCTTCAGGGACTACAGATGAAAAATAGCCTGTATTGCTAAATCTGCCACATTTACATGATGGACTTGAGTTCTCATGTTAATGTGCATTGTCCCTTTTAAAATAAATAAATTCAAATTCAAACGTTATCGGGAAACGCAGCCCAGATCTGTTGACAGACCCCGAAGGGAATCAGCAGTGCAATGATCCTTTTGAGAGCAGTTCTGCATTAAGTTTGCAGTAAATGGTTTATTGAAATGTCAAGCTTGACATTCTTATTCTAATTAGTTCTAATTCTTTTATTTGTTTATTTTATCATTATTTTTTTATTATTTCATATTGAGAGACTACATGAAATATTTGTTCTCTAAAAATTTGTCACTATGCAGGACTATTACATGGAAGTATAGTCCACCCAAGTCATTCAAATACTTTGACTTTCTTTCTGTGGAACTTTAAACAATGTAATTACAATGAGTCTTAGAAGTAGGATCCATGTGCAGTTTGTTAATGTCATAAATAAGAAGACAAAAAGACAAAGAAGTTGTCTAATTCTGGCTCAGTTTCAATACACAGGAAATCCGCAAGTCTACAATTAAAAATCCAAGAGTAATCCAGAAATGGGTGAAGAATTTGGGTGAACCTGTGATAGTTACAGCACATAAAACATACACTTTTCCTTAAATGGACCTAGATAAAAGTAGAAAAGGTATGGCAATACATACATACATACATACATACATACATGTAACTCACTCACCCCATAGAGACCTAACAGGGCTATCTGTCTGCCTGTATTGTTTGACACTGTAAAATCAAAGTAAGTATTTTTGGAAGACGAAATCCTCTAGAGATGCAGCTGTGATGGTGCATAATACTCAGCATAATACTCATCTCACATTTCAGTTTTGTGTCTCTCTCCGTTATCTCTCCAACAGGTATTAGGTGGATCAGGGCATCTGTACACGTGCTTCACGTCCTGTCACTACTGCCCATGCCCCGCCTTCACTTTCTCTGTGCTTAGGAGAAATGAGAGTCTGATGGTGAGGTCACTTCCTCTTTCTGCTCTCACACACAACTACACAGCTGCATTCACAGACCCCCAAGACCCTCATCCTTTTTCTGCTTGTAGGGCTGATATCAAACCATAATCATTAAGACAACAGGGAAATTGATGTTAAAAAAATAGTTGACAACTTATATTATTACCAATTAGTTGACTAGCGATTGTGTTTAAAAACCTTTTTGCACTTACATTATTTAACATGCGTTTGAAAAGATATGGATTTTTTTTAATAATTATTAATTTGTTTATCAAAGTTAACAATTTGGTCATCAAATAGATTTTTAGAATTTAGAAAAACTTTATTGTCTATCACACACTGGTAATATACATTTTTCTTAGGTTAAAAAGCTCTTATTCAATACAAATCAACAACACATACAATTCAACAATAAGCATAAACATGCAATTCATTATTAAAACGGACATCTAAAAAAATGTAAATGGAAACTACAATTATGCACATTTCTAAAACCCACACACATTTACTTGACCTTGTTTAAAGGGTTAGTTCACCCTAAAATGAAAATTCTGTCAGTATTTACTCACCCTCATGTTGTTCCAACCCTGTAAGACCTTCGTTCATCTTCGGAACACAAATTAAGATATTTAAGATATTAAGATCACTCCTGCATACTAGTCCATAGGCTTCTTGAGGGAATAATAGTCCAAGTGACTACAGGGGCTCAATCTTAAGTTTATCAAACGACGAGAACACTTTTGTGTGCAAAAACAACAACAAAAATAACGACTTTATTTCAACTATTCGTTTATTTCTCCCTCTGCGCGAGTCAGGTTACTAGTTTAATAGCGTAAGCTTCTGTTATTGTACGTCACACGCATCACACACATGACCAGCGTCAGCCAATAGTGAGCCTACGTGTGACGTAGCTTTACGCAATCACACTACGTTAACTGACTACAGGCCCATGGAGAAGGAAGTAAATAGTTGAAATAAAGTCGTTATTTTTGTTTTTGTGCACAAAAAGTATTCTCGTCGTTTGATAAAGTTAAAATTGAGCCACTGTAGTCACTTGGACTATTTTAACGATGTCTTTAATGACTTTTCGATGCAAGCAAGAGTCATTCCCTCAAGAAGCCTATGGACTAGTTATGCAGGAGCGATCTTAATATCTTAAATATCTTAATTTGTGTTCCGAAGATGAATGAAGGTCTTACGGGGTTGGAACAACATGAGGGTGAGTAAATACTGACAGAATTTTCATTTTTGGGTGAATTAACCCTTTAATATAGTCACTGCTTTGGGCACAAACAAATTCCTATTCCCTCTTCCTAGCTAAGGGAGTTCCGAACCGGCAACCTGATGGAAGTAGATGAAAAGAAGAGGGTGGGTGGAGTCTATAATAATAGAAGCTGCTTTCCTCTTTACTGCCTTATTATAAAGGTCTGAGAGGAGAAGCTGTGAGATCCCAATAATCTTAGATGCCTGCTTAACCCTCCTGTTATCCTCAAATCTGATAACACTTTTTACCCTCTGGGGTCAATTTGACCCCAGTAATTTAAACCTCCACAATATGTTTATTTTTTTTTTACAAAGGTTTGTCTCAGTTAGTTTATGTCTTTGTTGATTACTTAAGTAATGTTTTAAGTTGACATCCACCCACCACCCCCCTCCCCACCCCACCTAACCCCACCGAACCCCTTATACATCCAGAATAGCCATTGCACGACTATGGACAAATTTACAAATCAACATAAAATCTTACTGATTTGACCTAAAATTGGAAAAGTATAAATACATCTGGTGTTTTATTTGTTTTATAATATTTCTAAGTATAGATTTATGCAATCTATGACATTTGGAAAGAAAAACTATTTATTTTATCAAGGATAGTAACACGAGTTATGTTTGGGGTCAATCTCACAAAAATTATGTTTTCTCCTCCCCCATGGCACGGGAAACATCAAATTTCTCACAAAAATGATGTTTTCCCCTCCCCAATGCACAGGAAAGAATTATTAGTTATCTTGAGAATTATGTCACATGTCATGTGAACTACTAGTAGTTCTCGCAATACTACAGATATGGTTATGTTTGGTTAGAGCCCTAAAACAGAGGGACGTTTTTTGAAAATGATATTGAATATGTAAAATTACAATGAATATTATAAATTCAAATTATAACATGTTATAATGACCTCAATATAACAACCAAAACAAATGTGTGTGAAATTTTAATATTTCTTCTGTTTTATTATACAACTAAAAGAGCCTGGGGTCAAATTGACCCCAAGGAACACCGATGCTACAAAATTTGTACAGGACTTTGAAAAAATATTAGCAGGTTAATTTTATGTTTACAGAGTTGTCCCCATTAAATTAGGAAAAGTCATTCAATTTGAAGCAAAAAAAAAAAAAAATATGTTTTTACAGACGTTAAACATTGAATGGGGTCAAATTGACCCCAAGGATAAGAGGAGGGTTAATAATTCTTGATAATTGTAGCTTATTTTCAGCTGAAAGTAAGCTATACCAAGAAACAATGTGGAATGTCATGACTGATTCCATAAGTGAACCACACACTGTTGTCAAAATGTTCTGTCTAACATTAAATCCTTTCAACCGTCTCAGAAGAAATACACAATGATGAGCCTTCTTGCAGACACAGTTCACATGTTGTGCAAAGGAAGTTCACATGTTGTGCAAAGGACAGTCGGCTGTCAATCACAGTACAAATATGTAAAGGATTCAACCTGTTCTTTTTTATTAGCTTGCTTTCATTTTAAGCGTCTTCCTTTACTCTCTTCTTCAGCTCCCTGTTGCTGGTTTTCTCGGTAACACTTTACTTGAAGGGGTGTGCATAAGACTGACATGACACCTTCATAATCATGACATGACACATATCATGAATATGAAAGAGGTTTTTTATGCATGTTTATGACAACTGTCATTGTGTCATTCGCTCAATCATGACATTTTGAATGCAAATATGACATTGCTTGAGATGTCTTTGTTATGACAACTTGACATAAACCAATACACCATAACCTGTCAGTGTCTTGGTAATGACAACTTGACATTATCAAGACAACATAAATTGTCATAAACATGACATGGCAGATAAATTATCAAACTTAAGAAACCACCTTTATTGGTTAACATTACATTAAACCGTCAGGTGGTTGGTTTTGACTTTGGCTGTCATTAGGCTATTATAACGTTTTAATGACAAATTAAATTTGTACCACTGTAGTTGAGGTCAAGAAAAATATTCATGACACAGTTATATTGGCCTCATGACAGCCAATGTCAAAATCAACTACCTGACAGTTTAAAGCTGCAGTCCGTAGCTCTTTTGTGGTTAAAAATTATCCAGAATACATATTTGAGAAAATACATAACCAGCCAGTGTTCAAAACTATCTGCTTGCCTTAGCTCGATTCAAAGCGGTCAGCTTGTAATAATGTTTTTTAACTCCAGTGTTACTGGTGTATTTCCATGGGAGATTCGATCATGTCTTTGCGTCATTACGTCACATCTGTCGACATAAAGGAGTCTTGGCTATATTGCGTGCGAGGATGCTGGAGGTGGAGATTTATAGCCTTTTCTCACTGCACTTGATATAATTAAACTTAGCAATTTGATGGTGGATCCAGAGAGGTTCAAACGACAATCACCAGTGACAACTAGAGATTCACCCACTGTAAAATGCAAAAGACTTCGTTCGGACTGCGGAGTGGCTTCAGAAATAAAGAGACCGCAACCGGACCCATGCGAAAACAGGATAGGATACACAAGGATACATATCGGAAGGACATTACATGTAGTCATGCAATGCTTACGTTGTTAACATTAACAATTTGAGGACAAAGTATAATTTGCACTTTTTTGCGTGATATGATAACTTATAAGCGATTGTTAGATTTAATCAGCGCGATTTACTCCAATGTCAGAACCAGAACAAAGGTGGATGTTTCTTACTAGTTCAGATGACATTTTCCGGTGAAAATTCTTTTGTTGGTCATACTTCCAAAAATAATAATCTGTGATTCTGAATGACAGTATCCACACCGGCGCAGTGACTGACAGCCTCATTGTCTCCTCAAACATTGTGTTCATCCGCACTGTGCAGTGTTGAGGGTGTTGAAGTACAACTCACGTTAAGTTGATAATTCTGTAAATGACTGCAATTGTAGATTTTTAACAGAGATGGCGACAAAGAGGAAAAACGCCAGATTGCAGCTTTAAAGTAATTTTAACCCATAAAGCGAAGTGGTTTCTTAAGTTTGATAATTAATCTGCTATGTCCTGTTTATGACATGTTTATGACAGATTGTGTTGTCTTAGTAATATCAAGTTATGACAGACACTGCAGGCTATGATGTATTGGTTTGTCAAGTTGGCATGACAAAGACATCTTAAACAATGTCCTATTTGCATTAGAAATGTCATAATTGAGCGAATGACACTTAATGACAGTTGTCATAAACATGCATGAAACCTTCATATTCCTGACATGTGTCAGTCTTATGCACACCCCTTCAAGTAAAGTGTTACCATTTTGTCTTCTCCATTGACTGTCTGTTTCAAAAGGAGACCCCAGTATCTGTTGTCACACAGTTGCATGTGCATCAGCCTGCTTTTGAGCCCAGGGGAGGGAATGAGACTAAAATTAGTTCTCCAGTCTGAGAAACAAAATCCAGAGACAACCCTCACTCTGATAGCATGACCTCCCTTTATTATCGAGCTGCAAAAAAATATAAATGCATTTTATACCCATGTGATCTGAGAAGAATGGTTTCCTTGTTTATTTATAGTCCTCTGTGTAATGCAATAGAGTTTAGTTGATGCGCTAGAAAACGTCTTAATGTGATAAACCTGCCTTCTCTGCCAAACTCCAGAAGAACATGACGTGGGATTCTCATCAGTTGTGGGTTGGTGAGGTACCCTGGTTAAAAACCAGACCATTCTCAATTGTAACAGAGTTATGGTCTGACAAAGCGTCATATACAAATCATTTCCAGAGGGGCGTCACCAACAGACGTCGCGGATAGACCTAAAACCAATCAGACCAGTGAAGGAGATGACGTATGCAGAGCGGCGGAGAAACATCTCCGAGTGTTGTTCTTTGCTCGGTTTTTAACAAAAAGGAAACGTTCAAAACGCTTAAAACAGACACGATAGCTGATTCGAACGAGTGATGTTCGAAGGCGGCATCCATCTTTGTAATGTACTGTAGGCAACAAAATCTGCTTCAAAATCCCAGCGCTGTCGTCATCATGTAAAGCCCATCCCAACGTTTCTGATTGGTGCCTTGATTTCGACGGATTGGAAATGGGCTTTAATGAGCTCTTTGCCAGACTAACTTTCAGAGCTAATCTAAATTTGCTGGAAGTTGTCTGGGTTTTCCCAGGCTATTAGTGAGGCTCTATATCGGAGGTCTGGAGTGTTGGGAGAGATTCCAGGCGCAGTCAAGCATGTAGACCAACATGAATGTAAATAATAATGAAAGTACAGTATAATGTTTCATTATATAATGCCGCCACGGTAATACATCCTGTTAAGTGCATGTTTTATTCCCCTTTCAACCATTTCATTGTCAATCCTATCTTTTTGGGCGGCACTAATATTCTCCTTCATTGTGATCCTTTGACTGTTCATCCCGCTGATGCATTTTTTATGACTGCAGTGCCAGTGACTGTAAATTGAGAACAGATGGGTGCTTTGTGCATTTACTATCATTCATTACACACAATAAATATTAGTTTGAAACATATCTGACCTTGAGCCTATACAGTGTCATTCTTATATAACCAAACTGGTGAAAGAATGGTTCAGTTGTATAACCTCCATGTTTATTTATGTCAAACCTAAGCTCTTCTCTTACCATTATTTAGTGCCATTTTATTAAAATGTGTTTTCTATATCTATGTTCTCTAGTGTAAGCACCTCCTGGCGGCCTGCTTGAGTCAGGCCATGGGATTGTGCCAGCAGGAGCAGGTCTCAGATCAGCAGATGACCCACATTCTCTCAGGGCAAACTGAGGCCAGCACATAAATAGCTGATCCTGAAGTTGACTTTAATAAGAACTACCTTGCAGCAATTCAGGTATTTTATTATGGATTAGACTGGACTTAATTGTCATTTGCCTATGATTAAAAGGTTTGAAAATTGTTGTGTACTTGCATTAAAACCCTGTGTTTCTTATCGAGAGATGATATTTTGTAGAATATATATTTAAAAAAAATGCTGTGAAAGTAAATAAATGCGCAAAGCTGAACCCTAAATACCAGATGTTTGTATATGTGTTCGCAAAATATTTTATCTGTTGCCCGAGAATGTACATCTGTTCATTGAGCATGATTGCGTTTATTTTTGGAGTTTCCGTTTGTTTGAAGATTATGCACTCTAGACTTTCAGAGTCTCAGCAACAAACAATGAGACTGAAGCTTTGCTCTTTCAAATACTTTCCTTTTGGGGTTTTGTTCTTAGTAAATCTGTAAACCATTTATTAAACATTTGTGTAGTTATATTTTGTCATGCATTAAAAAAATTGAAAATGAACTTTTTATATTTTTTATGACAACCTCATTACAACAACGTATTACAACTGTTGTTGTTGCTATTATTATTGTATTCATACTAATTGGTATGTCCAGAGAGTTTTTCCAAATGTATACAAAATCCAGATCTCGTGTGTCAGATGTGAGTAAAAGATTGGATTTTAGTGTAAACACAGCCAAAATACCTATAAGGAGAAAAAAACACTACAAACTTACAAGCAAACCCTTTAGTCTCCAAATTGATGATTTGCCCATGCTCTGCTGCCAATAGAAATAGTTAAGAGTTTATACATTTGGAAAGACTTTCTGGACTTACCAATTAGTGTGAATACAACAACGTATTACAACCTATTATTATTGTATTCACACTAGTTGGTAAGTCCAGAGAGTCTTTCCAAAATGACACAGATCGGAATTTGTTGCACACGTATAAAAACAAAAATTCGCATGAGATCCGATTTTTCCGCATCCGATCTGAGTCACTTTTCAAATGTGGTTTTAAAGGAGTAGTTCACTTTTAAAAAAACATTTGCTGATAATTTACTCACCTCCATGTCATCCAAGATGTCCATGTCATTCTTTCTTCAGTCGAAAAGAAATTACGTTTTTTTAGGAAAACATACCAGCATTTTTCTCCATATAATGCACTTCAGTGGGTTCAAGGTCCAAAAGACACTTTCAGTACAAACTGCAAACTGTTCAAAGAGCTTTAAACGATTCCAGACGATGAATAAGCATCTTATCAAGCGAAACGATCGCTCATTTAATAAATAAATAACAAAGTTTAAGTTTTATAAGCTGAAATGCTCACCTTGCTTTGTTCTGTGACGCACGTTTGTGACTCTCCTGTTCGAACTCGTTCATCAAAATGAACAAATCTTTTTCCGAGTCATTTGGTTCATTCAACGAACGAAACAAACAAATTGACTCGGAAAAAGATTTGTTCATTTTGATGAACGAGTTCGAACAGGAGAGTCACAAACGTGCGTCACAGAACAAAGCAAGGTGAGCATTTGAGCTTCTAAAACTTAAAATGGCTAAAATGGCTGGTGGCCTCAGTACTCCTGTGAAGATCCATAGAGGGATTCGGCAAGGGTGTCCTCTCTCGGGTCAGTTATACAGCATAGCTATTGAACCTCTGCTATGTAGATTAAGAAGACATAGCTTTCTGGTTTAAATGTCAATACAATGGTGTTTAAAGAACCTATTAAACTCTCTGCATATGCAGATGACATCACAGTGTTAATCAGTAATCAGAGTGAGGTTCAATCTTTAAAAGGAGCTCTAGAGAGTTACGGGAAGGCATCTTCGGCTAGAGTTAACTGGGGTAAAAGTGAGGCTCTTTGGTGTGGTCTTGGGCTGAATAGTCCATCACTTCCTGGTGGATTACAGTGGGGGAGAACAGGGTTTAAATATCTTGGGGTGTTTTTAGGAGTAGAGGAGTATAAAAAGAGAAACTGGGAGGGCCTAGTGGAGAAAGTGTGTGGTCGGTTGTCGCACTGGAAATGGTTGCTGCCTCGGCTGTCCTACAGGGGGAGGGTCCTGGTCTGCAATAATCTGGTGGCCTCGTCGCTATGGCACAGGATGATGATTCTGGAGCCTGGTCAACTTTTTCTGGTCGGGACAGCATTGGCTGAGGGCGCCCGTACAGTATCTGCCTACTCAAGAAGGAGGGCAGGGGCTAATCGACATTGGTTCCAGGATCTGAGCTTTCAGACTGCAGGCGGTGCGGAGACTACTCTACGGGGAGGACGTGAGCTGGGCCGAGGTGGGCTGTGCCCTTCTGAGGAGAGCAGGCAACATGGGGCTAGACCGTCACTTGTTTCTTATGGACATCGAAAAGCTGGACTTAACAGGACTGACAGCATTCTACCGGTCAGTAATGAGAGCGTGTACACTGTTAAAGATATCTCGAGAGCCAAATGGTGCGCTGGAACTGTGGAAGAGGGAAGAACCTCTGCTATTTAACCCAGCACTGGCATTGGACATTTCAAATTCAGTCTCCCTCAGAAGAGCTTTATGGACTGCAAATATTAAAAAAATTGGACTTTTGATCTCTGAGGATGGTTGGATATCTGCTGAAAATTTGGCTGAAAAGCTGGACATTAGATCAGTTCGAGTGGTGGAGAGAATGCTGACTCAAATACGTGAGTTTTTGCCCCAGGACTATAGACTGTCATCTGGTGGGGAGGAAGGGACTTCTACTTTTCAAGAATTGTGCTTTTCAGCAAATACTGGAATATGGCAAGAGACTGAGGGAGGCCTGCTTTCTTTTAAGACCCCCCAGTTGGACTTTTTTAGCAACACTGGGAAAAAAGCTCTGTATGCACTGTGTGTGAAAGTGTCACATCCGCACTCACTTGAGAGTGTGAGAGAGTCCAAGTGGCAGGAGGTGTTTGGGCCAGGCGCTTCCCCCAAAGGCTGCTGGAGGTCACTGTACAAGCCTCCAATAGAGAAAAGGTCTGGAGACCTTCAGTGGAGAGTAGTGCATGGGATAATAGCCACAAACAGTCACAGAGCACCCTAATCAAACACACCCGATTCAACCCATCAGCTCATTAACCCACCTGATTATGAGCTGATGGGTTGAGTCAGGTGTGTTTGATAAGGGAGACAAAGAAAACATGCTGTGTTGGTGTGCCGCCAGGAACAGGGTTGGGAAACACTGCTCTAGACAGTTCATTGTAGAGGTTGATGCATCAGAGGTGGGCGTTGGGGCTATTCTCTCCCAACGCTCATCTTCTGATGAGAAGGTTCATCCCTGCGCTTACTTTTCACATCGCCTTTCTCCCGCCGAACGAAATTATGATGTTGGCAACCGCGACTTATTGGCCATTCGTCTAGCTCTCGGAGAGTGGCGTCACTGGCTAGAGGGCTCAGCGGTCCCGTTCGTGGTCTAGACAGATCACAGGAATCTTGAGTATATCCGCTCCGCTAAGAGGCTTTGCGCGCGCCAGGCTCGTTGGGCGCTATTCTTTACGCGTTTCAATTTCTCCATCTCCTATCGGCCCGGGTCTAAGAATCTCAAGCCAGACGCTCTTTCGCGACAGTTTACTTCCCCAGAGGTTGTTCCCAATAAGGAGGAGATCCTTCCTCAGGGCATGGTGGTGGGGGCAGCTGTCTGGGGAATAGAATGTTTGGTCAAGCGCTCTTTAGCCCACGCCATTACCCCTCGTCTTTGTCCCAGGGGTCTTCTGTTCGTTCCTCCGTCTGCTCGCCTCGCGGTTCTTCAGTGGGGCCACTCATCCAAACTATTTGCCCATCCCGACGTTAGGGGCACCATCGCCGCCATCCGCCAGAGATTTTGGTGGCCCTCTCGTGAGCGCGACGTCCGCCGTTTTATCGCTTCGTGTACGGTATGCGCCCAGACTAAGTCGGGCAATTCGCCTCTGGCCGGGCTGCTGCGTCCCCTCCCGTTACCGTCCCACCCTTGGTCACACATCGCCTTGGATTTTATCACGGGTCTTCCCTCCTCTCAGGGGAACACCGTGATACTGACCGTCGTTGATCACTTTTCTAAGACTGCTCGCTTTATTCCGTTACCCAAGCTCCCGTCTGCTAGGGAGATGGCCCAGATTATCGTCGACCAAGTTTTTAAGATCCACGGTCTCCCCTATGACGTCGTATCCGATAGGGGCCCCCAATTCTCTTCCTTGTTTTGGAGGGAGTTTTGTCGTCTTATTGGTGCGTCGGCTAGTCTCTCCTCCGGGTTTCACCTACAGACCAACGGTCAAGCAGAACGTGCCAACCAGACCATCGGTCGCATCCTTCATAGTCTCGCCTTTCGCAATCCGGTTTCGTGGTCAGAACAGCTTCCCTGGGCAGAGTACGCTCTCAGTTCCGCTCCATCCTCTGCCACAGGTTTTTCTCCTTTTCAGTGCTGTCTCGGGTACCAGCCTCCACTCTTTTCGTCTCAGGAGACTGAATCTAAGGTGCCGTCCGTTCAAGCCTTCATTCAACGTGCTAAGCGTACTTGGAGAGAGCTTAGGTCCGCTTTAGTTAAATCTTGTTCTCGTACCCGGCGGGCCGCTAATATACGTCGGGTCAAGAGTCCCCGTTATTCTGTGGGTCAGAGGGTTTGGTTAACTACCCTTAATCTTCCTCTCCAGTCCACTTCTCGCAAGCTGGCCCCTAAATTCATCGGGCCTTTCCGTATTCTTAAGATACACAGTCCTGTCTCAGTCCGTCTCAAGTTGTCTGCCAATATTCGGCGCGTCCACCCGGTGTTTCACGTGTCATGTATTAAACCTGTCATTCGTGCTCTCCCTCGGCCTGTCACTCCTCCTGTCCGCGTCGAGGGCGCTCCCGTCTATAGGGTTCGCAGACTTCTCGATGTTCGCCCCCGGGGTCGTGGTCATCAATTTCTGGTCGATTGGGAGGGATACGGTCCGGAGGAGAGATGTTGGATTCCATCCCGGGACGTCCTGGACCGCTCACTGATCGATGACTTCTACTGCTCATGCCAGTCCTCCTCCGTTGCACCAGGAGGCGCTCCTTGAGGGGAGGCTACTGTCATGATCCTTGCTCTTTCTTTCTTTCTCTGTTCCTTTTCTGCCCTCTTCTGGTCACTCTCTTACATTAC